ACATGGTTAAATTGATATAAACTTTGAAGAAGCTTGAAATGATAGAGCTGAAGTTAAAAGATGTCTGTCAGGTTTTTGGCTCCTGATCCATAGCTCTACCTACGTAGGAACCCTTGTCTGATCTCAGTTACATTTCTTAGGTAAGAGATATCTGCTACAAATATTTCACCTTTAGAAGGGTTTCTCTAATACTCAATGTCATTTTCCCTAAAGGAAAAACCACTGCAAAATTTAACAGCAATAGCTGTAGAGAACATCATAGAAATTACATTCCTATACCTCCAGGACTGAATAGAGATTAATGTAACTTACACATTACTATCGAGGTGTTTTATTGCGTTTTATAGGAAGAATACAATTTTCTCTTAAATTATATGGGATAGTTTAAAGAACAAGGTTGTAATTTCCTTAGCAAATGCTTTTAAGACCTTCCTATGATAGTTCATGTTTTAAATTTCATCATTTTCTCTATAGCTTATTTAGGCAAGTGWGGTCACCCATACGTGACGAAATGAATTAAAAAGGGCACATAATGTTCCAGTTTCAAGTACTTGGGTGGATGGGGTTGCTTAATATACATATATCATACTCTTCCAAACTATCAAAGACCTTTGGATGAATTGGGTGCAATATATATTAACTCAATTACAAGGGAAACACAGATCAAAGAATGTAGCTGGGAGGTCTTATTAAACTATGAGACTTCATGAAAATGTCACTGGTTTTGATTATACTGGATTAAAGTGTCTGAAATGTCACTTAACTTCTTCATGTTCCCAGAAAAGAAAATTTGACCGGGTAACTGTAAGTTCGAGGTTTCAGACCTTGTTTTTCAGTGCTGTTATTAAAGTGGACTTTTCATAAATTGGTAAAAAACACTGAAGATTTTTTTTATCCATTTTTGACACTGAATATTTAATCTCATTTCCTTCAATTTATTTCCCTTTTCTTTTGTGATTTTTGTATCTGCCCTTTACTCATTCACATTCATCTTGGAAAAACTTCAGTTTTTCAAAGGAAATTATAATAAAATTTCTTTTATTAAAAGAAATAAAGTAATTTAGAAATTATTAGTATATGGCATGGGATGGACATATTGAAAGGTATCAAGTGCAGTTTTTTCCAACGGGTAGAGCAGTGCTGAGCTTTCCAAGGAAAGGAGTTAATGAGGAGCAGTTTCCATGTGCTGCAATGCTCACCTGATCTATTTGTGCCTCTCCAGCCAAGGAGAATACACGTGTATGCTGAGCACTGCTATCAGTGGTAATAGCCCTCTAAATTGGAAATAATCTTGTAAAGATACCTAACAGACATTCTCTGGTACATAACAACAAGATGGAGAAAAAAAAAATCACTTTTCTTAATTTGTTTACTTTCCTGTTGCTACACATCAACACTTGTTTGTAATTATATTAAAATGGTGAGGTACCCCCTGTTGTGAYACAGGAACAGTGAAAAGTTTGCATATTGCTATCTCACATATCCATCATATTTTGTGTTTGGTATTGATACAGCCCTGTTTAATCTCTCTGCAAGTGCAAGGGAAGAGTCCAGCGCTGTCCCTGCTTTTGTTGTGAGGAGCCCCATTCCACAAGAATGAGGCTTTCGAGATACCCAGCTCAGCATGAACTTAGCAAAAAACATGAAATCGGTGAGTAAATTGATTTCCTGCTTTACTGTGTACATGTTCTTTAAATTGCAGTGAAAGTAAAACACAGAAAGTGCATTTTCACCATAATTGGAACACAATTTTAAGAGCAGCAGTGGTTTCTCTCTCCACTTGCCACTGCCATAGATCTCCCCACAGATCTGGAAAGGCTCAGGATGAGATAGCAAGAAGTATTGCAGATAAACAGAGAATGATTCCATTCATTTATGGATTGTTTCAGGGATTCTGAAAGACTCTGCTAATACTGGTTATTAAGAYAGAGAAGATGGGGAGGAAAGAAAATCAATTCATTTCTCAATCYGTTTAAATGAACAAAGAATTGCGTGTGAAACTGAACGGAGCRAGTCAACAAAGCTCACACCAAACAAAAAAGGAAAAGCAGCTTTATTTTGCGTAATTGTGTCTGAATCACAGTAGATTTGACAGAACCTGTTCCATCCTAAGCCCCAAGGTCTTATTTAGGCAGAACACAATATCAAATAYCCTGTAATGTGTTCTTTCTGGGCTAATCTAACATCTCATGGGATATCACGCAGGGGGRCAGCACAGGCAGTTGAGTGGTTTTGTTGGTTTATATTCAGTCTTTGCAGGACTTTTTCCATCTGTCTGTTTCCATCTACAGTTGCACTACTGTACGGTAGTGCACTGTCAGATCTCTCAGGTTTTTTTTGGGGTGGCTTCCTTATCTCTGAAATAGGAACGAAATAAGAAATATTAGTGCTTTTCTGGTGAGAGGGAGATAAGGTTGAACCTCTGAATACTTGCAAAGGCSTTCAGAGGACACTTCAGAAGTGCCTAACGCTACGAATTCTGGTTTTATAAGGCATYTTACTATCATAGTATTAGGAGTTTGACCTTTTAACCTTTATGCATGTATGTAACCTGACTTAATGGAGGCTCGTGGAAAAGCTTTCACGACCAGCACTGCCTGTGCAATCTGAACACCAGATTTACAGAAATCTAAAGGAACTGAGCTGTGACTCTGCAGCAGGGCAAGGCACTCCAAATGCTGCCTCTCTCATAAAGTTAAGGGTCTAGAAAACTGTGACCAAGATTCCCTCAAATCACAGGGTTTTATCTGAACAGAAATAAGTTGCATTTACAAAATTGCTGATATTAACAGCCCAGTATTAGCAGGGTAAATGCCTTGAGATAAGAATTAAGATTGCCGGCTGAGCATCCAAAACTCTCCAGCATCAGCAGGAACTAAAGCAGCAAGATGCTTAGAAAAACAGCTCCACATCTGATAGGGAAAAGCACAATAAATCAAAGATAAAGTAAACTTTCTAGATAACCAGGAGCGTTTAGTGCCRTTCTGATTAAGCTCCTCTAGAGGAAGTGAGTAAACACAGCCTCCATGCTTTCCCCATCTTTCTGCCAATTTACATCTTAATGGACAAACTGCTTCAAGTTACTCATTTGGCAAAGCGAGGGATTGATTTGCAACTTTTCATTTTGAGTGTTCCCATCAACTTCTGCAGGGCTGTTCAGGGCAACTGAGCACAGCCATGGGCAGGCATTTAAAGATTAACAGGTCTTTGTGGCATTCCAGGGGAATGACAAAGCCATCAAAATTCATTATTTTTTTTCCCAGTATTTCACACACATTACACGTGACTGCTGCAGTTATTACACCAGTAATTTCAGAAATCTTGCCGTTCAATTCTGTGATACTGGGTTTTTTTTACCCTTGAAGACCTGAGTGATGAGATTAAGAGCAAATTCTCCAATTTCATTGAAAGTGTATTTTTTTTTTTTTTTGTTCTTGTATTTGCAATGCAAAGCCTTGAAATGTGAGCTGAGTTACAAAGAATCAGTTGTGCAGTCTCACTGCCTGGCATGAAAGCAAGCACGGTGTGAAGGTTTTCAGAGGAATATGACACCATTCATYCACTCCACCTGGAGGGGCACAGAATGTCTCTGAATTCCTGGATATTTTGTACACTTGATGAGTTTGAACTCAGGTGGCTGCCTTCCCTTCCACCTCCCAGAGGACACTGTCACCTCGGGGAGAAGGGATGACATTGTCTGGGGACAACACGGACAGAGGGAACGTTGTTCTGCAGCTCCCCTTTGGCATCCCCTCGGCTTTGGGTGATGCTGACCTGCGGCTGAGTCTTCTGCCTCAGTTTAGGGGGCAGCTGGTGACACCCCAACTTTCCCCCATAATTTATAGGATGATGGACAGCATCCCAATCTTCCCTCTCAATTCAGAGGGTGATGGAGAGCACCCCAACCTTCCTGCTCAGTGCTGGAGGTGATGGACAACACCCCAACCTTCCCTCTCAATTTAAGGGTGTGACAGACCACCCCAACTTTCCCCCTCAGTTAAGGGGGAGATGGAGAGCACCCCAACCTTCCTGCTCAGTGTGGGAGGTGATGGAGAGCACCCCAACCTTCCCACTCACTGTTGGAGGTGATGGACAGCACCCCAACCTTCCCCTCAATTTAGGGTGATGCAGAGCACCCCAACCTTCCCCTCAGTTTAGGGTGATGAAGAGCACCCCAACCTCTCCGCTCGGACTCGGAGGTCATGGACAGAAACCCCAACCTTCCCCTCAATTTAGGGTGATACAGAGCACCCCAACCTTTCCCATCAGCTTTGGAGGTGATGGACAGCACCCCAACCTTTCCCTCAATTTAGGGTGATACAGAGCACCCCAACCTTCCCCCTCAGTGCTTAAGGTCATGGACAGCACCCCAACCTTCCCCTCAATTTAGGGTGACGCAGAGCATCCCAACCTTTCCCACTCAGTGCTGGAGGTCATGGACAGCACCCCAACTTTCCCCTCAATTTCAGGGTGATACAGAGCACCCCAATCTCCCCGCTCGGTGTGGGAGGTGATGGATAACCCCCCAACTTTCCCCTCAATTTCAGGGTGACGCAGAGCACTCCCCGCTCGGTGTCGGAGGTCACGGACAGCCCCCCAACTTTCCCCTCAATTTAAGGGTGAAGCAGAGCACTCCCCGCTCGGTGTGGGAGGTGATGGATATGCCCCCAACTTTCCCCTCAATTTAAGGGTGACGCAGAGCACTCCCCGCTCGGTGTGGGAGGTCACGGACAGCCCCTTTTCCCCGCCGGTTCTGAGGCGGTTGGGCCGCACCGCACCCACAGCCCCACAGGCTGCCATGGCGCAGGCAGTGCGCGCCCCGGGGCCGCGGGTTCGAGCCCCGAGGGGGGCGGTCGGTTCTCGGCCGGTCCGGGGCTCCTCCGCGGCGGTTCTGGCGGGGGGTCCCGGGCGGGCAGCGGCGGCCGCGGGCCCAGCGCACATGTGCGGCCGCCCGGCACATGCTCACTGAGCGCGGCGCATGAGCAGAGGCGGCGCGGGGCCATCGGACATCTTGGGCCGCCCCGCACGGAGCGGGCAGCGCCGCCGGGCCCGGGGCGGGAGCGGGAGCGGGAGCAGCCRCCGCCCCCGCGCTGCCCGGCCCGCCCTGGCGCCGGCCGCCTGCCCCCTCCCGCGCCTCCCCCGGGCTGCTCAGAGCATCCCTCCGCCCCTCTTGCATTTGTCTTAATTCTTCTCAGAGACAAGATGGCAACGCCGGCGGCGGTAAACCCTCCCGGTGAGTAGCTGCCGTCTCGCCCCAAGTGGCCCCGCCGCCGGCTGCCCCTGCCCGGCCCGGCCCGGCCCGGCTCGGCCCGGCCCGGCTCGGCTGAGGCCCGCAGCCCCGGGCCGCTCCCGCCGCTCGTCCCCCGGGCCAGCAGAGCCGGGTGGGCAGAGCCGGCAGCCCCTGGGCTCCCCGGGACACGCCGCCCCTCGCTGTCGGTGCAGCCCGGCACATTGAACAGTTGTGCAGAAGCATCGGCGGGCACAGCGCCGGAGAGCAGCGGCACGGGCGGTGCGGCASCGGGGAGCAGCGACATCGGCTCTCCCTGCCTCGTCCGCCAGTTTAATTGTGGGCTCGTGAAGCCAAAACAAGGTGTTGAAACYGACCCAGGGCGCCTCGGCGTGTGCGCTGTGTTTGTTTCTTTTYCCAAAGGATGCAGTCAATATTTGCTGTTGGTACTACAGTTATTGACAAAGGAAACTTACACACATTTTCCCATTGACTTTTTTTTTTTTTCGTGAGGGAATGCGTTCCCCGACGTTTTGTTAACGTGTCTGTGAGATGCGACATCTGTTTTGTTCAGTGATGGAATAAAGTGAGTTTGGATGAAGGAACAGGGTAGTGTTGTGGAGATGTACCTGGTGTGGATCAACAAGTATTTGACACTAAAAATAAGTGGGACAACGGATCTTGCACTGGGCTCAGTACTAAGGAAGAATATTGCTATTAAAAGTCAATTCCAGTTTTACTTGCTTTAGTATGTGCTTGCATTGTGTCATTTTTTGTAGTTAGGTTGAGTTCTGACAATTAAAGGCTTGCTTGAGTAAATGCCAACTAATGTTTAAAGCTTGTTCATTAGTTAAATCCTGCTGTAGTTGGTAGTGTAGTTGTCATACTGAAAGTAAATATTATGATATAAACAATGAGTTTGGTTCAGTAAGCGACAATACAGTAAGCAGAAACTGATATTTGTCAGTCAGATTAAGTTTTAATATCAGAATTCTCCATATTTAATGAAAATCAATATTTAATKGAAGGTTATTTAATTAATACTAATTAGCTTCCAGGGTACCACGTGCATGATAACAGCGAGTTTCACTGCGTGCACTCACAGCTGCAATCAGTTTGGCTAAGGAGGATCCAAACAGCATTTTTTGACTTGGGTTTGGTTTGCCATTCTCCCACCTGCTCTGTAAGCTACGCATGAAGGAACAGCCCTGTCCACTTGGAGGTCAGTGCTGAAAATGCTGAGTTACAGCAGAGCCGGGTGCCCCTTCTGCACCAACCCTTTCCCCTGTCTGCATGCACCTGCCTGCAGCTGAAACCACAAAAAGATGTGTTTGCAGGAGATACCACACTCATGGACTGCTACCTCTTGAGTCGGGCTTGACTTTTGTTCTCCTGTGACCACTTTGTGAGCTCAGGGAGTGTAAAGGAGTTATTGAGGAAACATAAAAAAAAAAAGGAGAATAAGAGCCAAGTGTGTTGTCTGTGTGCATCTCTGTGACACGGTGAAAGTTGATGTGCAGCGTGTTCCTCAAACTCTCTGAAGCACAGATTGCTGGTCCGTGGAGAGGATGAGGAAATGTGTTGGTTTCCTGAAATGAAACAAGATCTCTTCTGCAGAGCTGAGGTTACAGAGCATCATTCTTTCCCCGTGGGGTGGTTGGAGGGTATCTTAGCTGAAAGACAAATGCGCTGGCTGTCAATGATCCTCCCACATTTTCTGTGTGTGAGCATTGTCAGACATCAGGGGTGAAGTCACGGAGACCCTCGATCTGTAGCAAAATGCTGCCTTTGCTCTGTCACAGACAGCAGAGGATGGAGCTGTGTGAAATACCTTCATTTGTACTGTGGCTTTTTTAAATCTTAATTTGTTGCTGTTGACTTTTTTTTTAAAAAGTAACTGCAAAGCAATTCAGAGAAATGGTCAAAATCTGTAGTGAAATGATTTAATCCTGCTATTTTCTCTCGGGGACAGCTCCTCAGGTGGAGTAACATGGGAGTAGCTCTGTTAGCATTGGTGAAGCTGTGTCTCCTTGCACCAGTTTCTGATCTGCAATGTTAGGGGAGCACAATAGAGAGATTAACTTGTTAAGCATCTTTAATGATGATWATAAATTACAATATGATTAAATTTTTATTAAGCGATTGTCTGGGRTTCTAATAACAGTTGTAATTCAGGCAGGACATTAACTTGCAGCTAYCACAATACAAATACATGTGGTTTTAGTCATATGGTGGAATTTAGTCTGCATGGTGGAATGGGGATTAGGGGAGGGAGAAAAGCTGGGTGCTCTGTAATTCTGTGAAGGTCTTTTAGTGTGGGATCTCCTACAGAACCATGCAATYCTCTTGTGTTAGGTGCAGATTTATCCATTTTCCCCCCGATCTCGTTTTAATGGAGAGTTTTAGTTAGGAGGGCTCACAGGAGTGGGAGCAGTTGCAGCCTTTCCTGTCTGAGGCTCATGGGAACTGYGGTGTCAGGGACCAAATCTGTGGAAAAAGCCACCTCTGTGGCTTCCTGGGCTGGCTTAGATCTAAACTGATAGTTCTTTTTGGTGAAGGTGTTTGTCCAGAGCTGCAGCTGGACATCGCAGCTGAGGGGCTGTGGGAGATCGGCTGTTTCCTCTTGCTGCACTCTCAGCCTTGGAAACARCTCTGTTTTGGAGTTCTTGGTTGGYTTCTCGTACTCTGAGTGACGAACTGGAGTGTGAAACACAATACAGATGTGTGGGAAGCTCATCTGCATTGGCACAAAGCATCACAGTTAATTTATTTCCTCCTGAAATAAGATTGGCATATTAAATGGGATTTAAGAACAAAAAACCTGTGGAGGTGTAACAAGCGTTTCATAAATTACTGCTTGCAGCAAAGTAACTTAGTGCCATGTCTGTTTTAAATGAATTATTTTTGGAGTGCAAGCTTTGTCCGTAACTGTTGCTACTTTGGGGTCAAATTTTGCTTAAMCTGAGTGCAATACATGAACTGGTGATTGTTCTGTTAGCCAGGGATGAAAACATGAAGCTCTTAATGAGTTTAGGAATTTTTTCCTGAGACATTACCTTGTCKTCGGTGATAAATTCCAGTCTGGTTCAGCCTGGTGGGTGAGCAGCAACTTTCTGCCATGGTCAGGTGATGTGAAATGAACACTTTGCTTCCTTTCAGTTCTTCCCAGTGAGGTGTCCCTAGATGGAAGGGCCACTCGGGGTAGWACACACCGATGCATTGCCAAAATGCCACGAACTCATAAGTCAAGAGAAATCGTGAGATTGTGGTGTTTAGCTAGAGTTACTTCAGAGGGAAGATCCCATAGGATGTGTTTTTGGCTATGTTGTAAGATTTTCTTGTATGCTCATATTTAATTGACAAAAAAAAAAAGAAGTAACTGTTCATGTAATCCCTGAAGCTTCTTTTAGAGATTTCTGTTTGAGCAGAGAGCCCAAAATGTAAAGGTACAGAGAACAATATGTCTTCAAAAGGGCATTTTCTGGAAATGTGTAGAGAGAGAGGCTGTGAAATGAGAGAAAGGGGCTGCTGTGGCTTTGGACATTASTGCTGCAACCACAGCAGCTCATGAGGGGAACTTTCAGCCTGTGGCTAGGCCGTGATAGAAAAATATTGGTGTTTTACCTGAAAGAAGGATTATTAAATAAACTCTCTTTACTTTCCGTTTGGAATGAGTTAACAGCAAATTTTATATTGTATTTGTGAAGAGTTGTAACTCAGCCCTGCATCTGGACTCATGATTTAGGCAAGTGCATTGTGTTCTGGGAGGTGGTTTTGGTTTTTATGTGTTTGTTTGACTCRGGAGTTAAGTGGAGATAAATCATTCTCCTGTTTCAACTCGACATTCTGAGAACCAAATGATTTGTTACCCAGTCTTACATTTGGACTGAAGTTACTAAGATATTAAGTGCTGTGGAAAACGGTTTTTGATGCTGCCCAATCCATATTCCCAAAAGGAACTGGCTTTCTGAAGTTGGCAATCTGGCCATTCTTTTCTTTAGATTTCATCCAGCTTTGAAATTGATGATTAAAAAAAAATCTACTTCAGTGTTTTAGATTTCAAAGTCGTTCAACTCGACGCCCAAAAGTTGTGTTTTATTGCTGCTGCTCTGCCCTTCATTATAATAGAGACTATCCAGTAAACTAAAAAATCAATTTAACAGCATCCTGGGGAGTAAATGGAGTGTTGTAGTGATGGAGGTTATAATGAGCTCTGATGTTTCTGGTATGCAAAAAAGTAGTCATCATTCTGAGATAAAGTTAAAAAAAAAAATTTCAAAATTAGAACACTCATTAGCTAATGGGAGGTTTACACTGCAGATCTTTTTCTTCTGGTGTTTTCATAGCTTTTGTACTGCAAAATTGTCCTTAATTCAGTCAAACTGTGGTGTGGGATGCCAATGCCTCTTGAATTGTGCTGTGATAATGTTTTGTCYTTCAGGACAATACTGGCATTGAGGAAATATTATTTTTGTATTTCTAATCTATAGGTATGGGGCAAGCAAAAGACTTCGTTTTGGGATAGCTCCTCTATCACAAAATAGTTGTTTCAAATTTGCATGTATAACTTGTGGTTAGTTGCAAATATTTTTTTCCATAGAATAATGTTTCCCCATGCCTCTAATAAAAACGCAAAACAAAAGAAATATTGCTGATTTCTTTAATACCATATAGTGTTGCTCATATTTCTTACCAGTAACGAAAATTGCAAYAGAGATTAGGTAGAAAAGGGAAAAAAAATAGCCTTTTCAAAATAGTCAAGGCAAAATAACCCTGTTGATGCAGTGATTATTGTTATTAAGAGGACAGAAATGGGGCTGTCATTATGAAGATGTATTCAGAGATTATGCTTAAATGGTTGTGCAGATCAGATATGTGTGTCGTTCAGAGTAATTTTGGGGGGCTTACTGCTTCATAACTGACAAGCAAGAATGGAAAATGTGTTAATTCAGTGCTACCTGCAGAAATTACAGTGTTATTAAAATTTGCAGTAGAAAAGAGAAAAG